TTTCTTCCCATGTTATTTCTACCTCTGATACCAAAGTTTCTGTGAAAGAAGTGAGGCTCAGGGACACTTTGTTATCTGGCATATACCCGCACATCAAACTGTCTGCCCTGCAGCTGAGAAGACTTTGAAAATGGTTAATGACTTCAGACTCCCTGTGCTTCTAAGAAACCACCAACTGGTTTGTAAACCCTAACAGAGAATAAGGAAGGAGCCCAATTTTGACAAGCGATAGCTGTGAAAACAAGAAAAACAGGTCTTTATGGGACACCAAAGCGTGTTTGTGTCTGGGGGGTGGGCAGACAAAGAGAAACAGTAAGGAAAAGAAGGAAAAAGATTGAATAATGATGACAGAGGAGGGATACAAAATACAGGTTGAGTCTCCTTTATCCAGAAATCTTAAATACAGTACTCCAAAATCCAAAATGTTTCTACCAGCTACGAACTTCTGCCTCTGAGTATTTCACTGCCGTTCCCAAAGAATAGAAGGGCAACAAAGTTGTTGAACTTAAACAATGATAGCCAAGAAAACAAGTTTTGTTATCCTATAGGTATAGCCCACTCCATTCTTCACTGAACTGATATATGATACAAAGGCAAGATGGATGGATGGCATCCTTGAAGTGACTGGCTTGACTCTGAAGGAGCTGGGGGAGGTGATGGCTGACAGGGAGCTCTGGCTTCGGCTGGTCCATGAGGTCACAAAGAGTCGGAAACCACTGAATGAACGAACAACAAAACAACATAATGTGTACTCAGTTTTATGAGTCCCAGGTATAGAATCCCATCTTTACCATTTTTTATATTTGGAAAGATCAGTACTCTCCCAGAAATCTTATAGCCAGCTATTACTGATATAGAAGAAGGCCTATCTCAATAATTATGTCAAGCATAATGCTGTCTCAAATATAACGACACATCCACCCATGAGTCTCCTTCTTTATTTTGATTTTAATAATAATAATAATACATTTTATTTATTACCTGCCTCTCCTGATTGCTCTTCAGGTTACACAAATTATATTTATCTGTACTAAGGAGCAGGTGGGATCATACAGACAAAATGACAGTGTCTACATCAAACTTTCTATAACTCACCATAAACGCTTAGCATAGATAACACTATAAACGAAAATGCACAGCACATACCCTTAGTGCTGGCACTATTATATGAATGCCCCTTACACTGTGAGCATTAAGCAATAACTGTCGATACCAGGAGTCCTCAAACTTTTTAAACAGAGAGTCAGGTCACAGTCCCTCAAACTGTTGGAGGGCTGGATTATAATTTGAAAAAACATGAATGAATTTCTATGCACACTGAACATATCTTATTTGTAATGCAAAAACCACTTAAAAACAATACAATACAATAATTAAAATTAATAACAATTTAAAAAATAGAAACTTATTAGTATTTCAATGAGGAGTGTGGGCCTGCTTTTGCCTGATGAGGTAGGATTGTTGTTGTTGCTGCTGTGTGTTTTCAAGTTGTTTCAGACTTAGGTTGACCCTGAGTGAGGGCCGGGTAAATGACTTGGAAGGCTGTATCCAGCCCCCGGGCCTTAGTTTGAGAACCCCTGGTCTATACTCTTGAAGGAGTTTTTATATAACACACCAGATGGGTAGTGGTGTTTGTATTTACATACAACCACCAGAAATGGTCTTGTTTTATGCTAGCTATTTAATATCATATTTTAGATTTTACGTTGTGTTTTCAAGCATAAAAATTTATTTGTGAATCTTTCAGTCTATGTACTAAATGTTACCATGAATCTATACAAAGTAATAGTCAAAATGGATCCCAGTAATGGATTTTGTGTCTCAGAATCAGTAAGCAGAATCAGTGAGGAGTTATATTTCAATTCTGCTCTCCTTCTCTGTGTGTATTATTACTACTGTTATTAAAAATATGAAATGGGACACTTTAAAAAGTGTTTTGTTTCCCTTTAACTGTAGAGGGTTTTTTTTATGGCACAGCAAGGGAATAGTCATAATAATGTCTGACTAGTACCTGGAGAGAGATACGAATTAGAACTGTATCTGTTAAAAGTTTCCAATGAACACACACAATTTTAAAAGAAAACATGATTACTCTCACAAATCTGTTATAAAATGGAATATGGAAATGGGGGAAAGGGCAATACAGTGGGTCACTTGAAGTCAAGAGCTTATTAATGGGAGTATTTTGAAACTCCCAATGGGACTGTTAAGGGCAGTTCAAAGGGCATGCATGCAAGTCCATTTTCAGAGGAAATGCAGATAAAAAAGAAATCGCACAATCATTTTCATTAGTTCTGTTTGATTGCTGATTTGTTCTTGTTATGCAGCCCTTTAAGAAACTGGGTTTATGGGTGGAATTTGGTGTCTGAATATGTATTTATATTAAGAAAAGCATGGAAAGTATTTCCAAATTCAAGCAGGGAAGCTACAATTTACTGGTGTAGTTTTTGAAAAATAATATAAAATAAAATGTCACTGTTGCTGCACCAAAAAATAATGTTGATCTATATCGTTGTGTGTTCATAATCCCTAACGACAATACTGATTTGTTGATCATAAAAACACTGTAGGTTGTAAAACCTATTCAGAACTTCCAAGCTGAAGTTGGTGACCGCAGAGGTGATGCAAGATCTTATGAGGTTATATTCACTGAGTATGAGATTTTAAAAAGGACTTTGAAAATATGAAAAACAATATATGCCAGCCCTTCAAATGGAAGAAAGACTAATGTGGACCTTGATAAACTTCAAAACTATAGAATGAGGACATATATACTCAGGAGGATTATCATTATAGAGAGTGCATGTCCTCTGCTACTTAACAATTCTAGGGAATATAATCAAACTTCTTCAGGTTTACAAACATGACCTTGTTGAATTTGTTCACCACCAATGACCACTAATCATGAGAACAGGTTATTCGGATGCTGACTAGATTTTGCATTTACTTGTGCTCTGAAGTAACCCCATCTCTTCCACTGACCTTTTGGCTTCACTTGGGGCAAGGGGGGGTTGTGTCCATAGACTGAATCTATCTACTTAGTTCCTGTGGCAGCTTGACAGCTGGTCTCTACCCAGAGCTTATACCATTATAAATATGGTTAGCTTTTAAGTTGTTGCAAAACTCACAGAATGTCCAGGAGGCCACAGATTGCTCAGCTGGGAAAACAATGCCTACCACTATCTGACAAGGTACACCTTCCAATATACTATTTATTTATTTAATTGATTTACGACATTTATATGCCACCCTTCTCACCCCAAAGGGGACTCAGAGCAGTAGTGGTACATTTTCATAACCATTAAAAAGAGAGAACCAGGTCTCACACTAAATCTGACAAGGCCATCAAATTTGACCTACAGGTTCTGTTTCAAGTTTTACATATTATTACTTCTTTGTACAGCCATGCATGCTATTTCTCTCATATACTAGAAAGCCCCAACCTACAGGCAAGAAGTAATTCCAAGCTACTTGTTATATAAATCATATAATGGACTTTCCCTCCTCATTTTCAAACAAGCATGGATGACTGTGACCCTGAACATGCCTTTGCATTTAACTCTGCTTCACTACTGGCAAAGGTTCCTAGTTCAGATGGGAATTGTAATCCAGTAACACCTGGAAAGCCATTGATTTTAATCATTAAAACACACACAAACATGCTAAACTCTTTCAACTACAAACAGTTCTGTAAAAGCTTTCTGGCTCATAGTATCCACAGGAGGTGGAAGAGTATCCTGGAATATGCAAGGATGTTACCCTCTCCTATGTACACCATAACCCTGGAAATTAGAGATTTCAGTTATTAACTTCAAATAGGCTTCTGTAGCACTTAAACCCAAGCACATCTTCTCTCTTTGCAAACAGCTCTTGCTACAAAATCCATGATATGAGGGTGATGAACCATGACAGCTCTTCAGAGAAAATGAACACAGAACAGCTTTTTTAAAAAAAACAGAGGCAAGAGCTCAATCCCTTACAGCAGCCATCTGGAGGGTAGCAGATTGGGGCCAGCTAGCCTACTGCATGAAAACAAGTGGTTGTATATCCTCCCAACTGCTCACTGAAAGTCCTACTCTGGGTTTTTTTTTTCTTTCTTCCTTCCTTCTTTCCTTCCTATTTTGAAGATGTGCATATTCTTTTTTTCGTGCTTCCCATATCAATGCATTCATTTCAATTTTAAAGGCAGAAAAAGTCAATGCCTAGTGTGTATCAGTGAGCTATCACAAAGCTAAAACTAGGCACTCTAAAAGAACATAAGCCTTTGTACTTCTGAGTGCCAGGTAGAAACTGAGGAGCAATATGCCTAAGTGTTACCAGCTGTAGAGATCTTACTGAGTTAAGGCCACAAGTCTTGCAAATTTCCCTGACTACATCCTTTAAAAAACCAGGAAAACACTGCAATAATATTCACACTTCATATCAATACTTTCTTTCTTAACAGGCATTGAGTCGCCTGTTAAGGGCTGAAAAATGCGGTATAGAAATGAAGGAAATAAATAAATAAATTCTTTCTCACTACATGTGTACATTGCTATAAGTATACTGGGTACAAACAGCTGGCACAATGTAAAGCGAACTAGAATAAGCTGTCTAATTATCTAGTGCACACAAGCTTCTAGATACTGAGCCTGTTTCTGAACCCATTGGATGTGCCCAAGGCCACTCTTGCTATATCTCCTTGAAAAACTGACTCTGTCTCTTCCAAGTATCTAAAAAGGATTAACAAACCATGCCAAAGAGCAAATGAATATCCCAGATAAGACTTAATAACAAATGCATTCTGAAAACACTCAATTTCCCAATTCCACTCCTCATATGATTGTCTCCACCTTATCCCAGTGAAATACAATAATCTGCTTTAACAATCTGTTTCTGGCCAAAAAAACATACCATACAAATCCTGGGACAATTTATTTTCATTACAACCATAGTGAATTGAATCACTTAATTTCTAGCAGCAGCAATCTACAAGATGCAACTACCAGCCCACAACTTACCTTCTCCGACTTGACTTTCTTGAGCTGTCGGCACTCACTGTCACCATCTTCCAGCTCTGACTTAACTCCCAAAGGATTGAGTGCAGATCCTGTGTCAATAGCTATACTTCCAAGCTGCTCGGCAGCAGTAGCAGAAGATTCGGATCCTTGGCCACCATCATACTGCCCAACCCTGACTGCCAAAGCAAGAGGTGGGAGTACACTTGGTTCCTTTTCTGCTGGAGCACCCGCACCCTCACTCCTTTCCTTCTTGCTCTTGGAAGAACTTCCCTCCTTCTCCTTCTTTGAGTTGGCCACACTGCGAGATTTGGCCGATTTCTCAGAGCCCTTTGGGGTAATGGCAGCCACCAAGCCACCAGTGTTCATGCCATCCCCAGGGCGCCCCTGAACCTCCTTCTTTCCACTGGTCCCTTCACTTGGAGTAAACAGGGAAGATCCTGGGGCAGTCTTGCTACTGTCCTTGCTACTCTTACTCCGTTTGGATTTGGATTTGCCTTCCTTGCTCTGTGGACCTGGCACTGGGGTCACAAACTTTATGTTCTCTGGCAGTGTCGCCACAGCATTTGGTGCTGGTAGCCCCACCTCCTTGGAGCCTGACATTTCCAATTTCTGTTGGTCCTTCTCCAAATCTGCGTCCAGATCAATGATGAGATTCCCTACTCCAATGTCCCATTCATCCCCACTGTCATATGTTTCAACTGGGTTTGCGTCCACTCCTTTCCCTCCGGAAGCTCCACTGCTCAAGGACATCTTAGAGTTAACCACCCTCTTCAAGGTTCAAGCCTCTTTTCTGCTCCCTCAGCCTTTGGGTATGAAGAGCAGCTTCATCTATGTTCTCAAGCCTCCAGTGATCAAGGTGTGCCCAGGCGACATAACTGCTGAAAGAGAAGTAAGAACACATATTACATTGCTGATTCAGCAAATGGATCTAAGAAGAAAGACACACACATATTGTACATACATATATAATATGGAAAGACATGTACAGATCCTTGTTTTTTAAATTCATTTCATGAATACAAGACTTTGTGGTTATGTGTCCCTAAATCCTTAATCATCCATACACTGATAATCACAGAGAAAGGAAGGCTAGTAAGCCATTAAGAGAAAATGTGTACACGGTACTCCAGGAAACATATTTATAGAAGTCACAAGATGAGAACAGGGAAACCTCACATTCAATTGTGAAGTTTAATAACAAATAAATTAAGTAACATAGGCAGAGTTCTGTAGACAAGAAACATAAGAAAGTCAAAAATATATCAGGAGCAAATTCATGAAAGTATCCACATCATGTGAGTCTACAGTTCCTAAATAACCAAAAACCGTCTCCTTGAAGATTCTACATAATGAATATTTCCCTGGAGGCTACAAAGGAGCAAGGCAGTCCACATTAAGTATATGGCAATTATATTTACAAGAGACAATTAACACATGAAATGACAATCTTCTTAACAGAGAGAAGTAGCAAAGGGCAGTTTCAGGCTTTCCTGTGAAAGCTATGACTGCCCCTCAATCTCTGGCTGTTCCTTAAGTATTACTGTCTTCTTCTGCTCCATGCTGAGTGTAAGAGACACCAGCATTGCTATATATATGGGACCCATTTAAATAAAAATTGCTTTTAAACAAGTACTTCATTTTCTTTTTTACAGTCCCAAAAGGCAGGTGACTAGAAGAATAGTAGAATATACCAGGAGACAAGTACTCCGTACAATGCAGCAAATTTAAGTCATACAGCAGGCTGCAAAAGCCACTCGATTTTCCATCCATTCCACATAGAATCTCTGATTGTGCTGCTGACAATCTGCTCCCTGACAGATCATTATGGAGATTTTTAAGCCTATGAGCCAAGGGTTGGCACATAACCATGAAAGTAAAAACAACAACAGTGACTTCTCATCTTAATGGTAGGGAAAGTGCAGCATCAGGAGAATGTTATGTGTAACAGTGGGCATGGGAAAAGCTTTGAAATGCTGTGGTCTACCTTCTACAGCAATCTCATAACATACAGTTCCTTGGAATGATCTGCCATCCTGAATGAATGTGACTGGGCCTTTATTCTACCAACCAATATTATGAGCGACGTCACTCTCCTGTACAGACTAGCCTGGAAGAAGATAAGAGTCATATAACAATCTACCCAATTTCTCTGTCTTTGTTTCACTAGAATAAGAAACAGGCTGTGGTATTTAAAAAAAAAAAAACAGACAGTTCCTACCCTGCACACCAAAACTTGATAGTTTCCAACCTGTCTTTATTTTCCTGAAGATAGTGGAAAAGGAACAATACTGCTGAACATAGAAAAGGCAATCTAGTACCCTACAGATCTGGACTATGAAGACCAGTGGCTAGTTTGAACTGAAATTATCAAAGATTATCTCTAAAACAATCAGAGCACACCACGTTACCTTTTATCACACAAACACACACACACACACACAAAGATGAGAAGACAAGATGCCTATGCCTGAGTTAATAGAACATTTCTATCATATGAAAAGATAGCATTCCCATAAAAGGTAAAGGTAGTCCCCTGACATTAAGTTCCGTCATGTCTGACTCTGGGGTGTGGTGCTCATCTCAATTTCTAAGCCGAAGAGCCAGCGTTGTCCGTAGACACCTCCAAGGTCATGTGGCCGGCATGACTGTATGGAGCGCCGTTACCTTCCCGCCGGAGCGGTACCTATTGATCTACTCACATTTGCATGTTTTCGAACTGCTAGGTTGGCAGAAGCTAGGGCTGACAGCGGAAGCTCATGCCGCTCCCCAGAATCGAACCTGCGACCTTTCGATCAACAAGCTCAGCAGCTCAGTGCTTTAACCCACTGAGCCACCGGGGGCTCCTTAGCATTCCCATAGCCATCTCAAAATAATGATGAAACAGTTACAGCCATTTAAATCTAACACTACTAACCAAACAATACAGGAAATAAAATGGCAAGTATACACTACAAGGACCGGAAGACCTCGTGATGGGTTAGGGGTACCACAATGGATGCTGTGCTGCAGGAGAATTGTGTTAATTTCTATGACACAACTCACCACACAATTTTATCTGCAATAGACCAGTGAGATTTAGCCCAATAACCGATTTGAAGATTTGCTTCCACTCTACAAAAAGTCCCAGGTAGCCTTACTTGAGTCCCTCTGTGGAGGTTGAGATAGGACGGGATATAAAAGCCTGAAATAAATAAATGAATGCTTGTGTAGATTGTCTTGAGTGACCACCACTTCCATAATGTTCTGGCAAACTGACCTCCACTAGGCTGCAGCTTCAACAGAGGCTTTGGGCTGACAAGTATTTAAATCCACTCATAGCCTACTTCATACTCTTTCACTCAGGACTTTGTACTTTACACTCTTATCTGTATTTAAGTATGCATTTTGTTATTGTGGTAGTAATTCATGAGCAGCTTGTAAACATTTTGATAGACTTGGCTGCAATCAGATGAAAAAAATTCAACATATCTCACTTTTTAGTCTTTTAATCCTCCCTGAAACTACAAGTCCGTTTAAGCACATGGAACAATATTTGTTCACATTCATTCCTTTCTCATTTTGTTAATCTCAGTCTCCTTCCCCTGTTCCCAAACCTCAATTTAGACTGTAATTGCCTCAAGGGTAATGCTTGTCTTTGTTTCTACAGCACTGCAGAAAATCATGTACACTATGGATTAAATTTGTATCTATCACTTTCTCACTTGTACATATGCAGAATTAAAATAACCCATACACAGAAAAGCACAATATTTCAAAGTAGTCAAAAGAAAGGTAGAGATGTGAGTGCAAAACTTTCAAAATGGAAAATTTACCCTAAAAATCGAATGCTAAAATGTAACAAACATACACACACTTACTTATCTAAAGAGTGGGCCACAACTGGTACACAATTCATGATTGTACACTACAAGTTCCAATATAAGTTTTATTTGAAATTTCAAGTGGAACTGGATTATATAACTAAGGAAATACTCACATTGTAATCTTAAAATGAATTCCAAAATAATCTGTTGCAAGCAATTATAATTCAGCCTAAATTTCCTGGAACATTATCCCTAAAGTCTGGGTTCATAAAAGAGAGTACCAAAATGAAAGAAGTACCAAAATCAAATAGGACGAAAACAATCCAAGTGCATGAGCCCTTCTACAATTCGTACTTGTCATGAAGCATTCGCCCATACACACGATGTGCATGTATTCTCTTGTCCAGCTGGAAATCTTCCAACAAGCAATTCTATGAGACGCCTTGAAACAGAAATACTAAGGGAGACAGCTTTTCGCCTGGGAACACTGCACAAACGCAGTGCCAGACATAAATAATTCAACTCCATTAAGGGCAGCTACCTCTATAAACCACATCTACATTGCGAAAAGAAGCCATGTCATTAGAGACCAATGTGAAATATCACTTTGAACTTGTAGCCCTTATCAAAATACTTCAAACAAATCTCGCCAAGCAACGCTGGAGAACACTCTGCAAAAGGATCAACATGCTGCCAAAAGATCATTGTGCCTTGACACACCGAGGCAAGTCACAAAAGACTGCACTGCTTTTGACCTTTTGCAATGAAACAAAAGGCACGGGAAATCTAATTGTGAATGGTCTGACACCCAAAGGTGAATTGATCCCATGAGCAGTTCAGCTGCAATGCAAACGGAATGTCTTCCATCCCTGTGTTTGAATCTGCAGAGCTCTGAGATTAGCCTCTGCTTGCTTCCAGACATGACTGACTAATTTTCAACCTGATTAACTTTCAGGAATGCCTGCATCAAGGAACAGCAGAAGCAGGGGAAAATCTCCAGCACCAGACAGCTGCTGCTCTAGAGCATGGCAAAGCTAAAAAGATTGAAGGTTCTGCCTCATTTGGATCAGTCCAAGGCGGTACACGTGCCCCCTGGCCACAGGCAGCAGCCCCCAGAAAAATCAGTCAGGAACAATTATGACGACTGAAGGGAAGTTACAAGAAGCAGTGCATCAGCTAGACAAATATGGCAAACCCTTTTCTGGGAAGAACTCCGAAACATTCCCATTAGCTTCGGACCCAGCTCTGATAACCCCATCCGGTCCCTTAAGTGCACACGTTTCCAGAGACCAGAGTGGAAACACGAGCAAGTGCTGTGTTCCTAAGCCACTCCTCCCACCATCTCTCGCTGGCAGTCAGCCCACAGCTTTTCTCTACAGACTACTTCTACAGAGGATTCTCTCTTTTTTTTTTTTGTTTCCTTTTACGACTAAAGAAACTCAGGGGGATCCATCTTGCTTTGCAGAGGAAGCTGCAGCACTCTTAGCTCTTCACACAACAGAACTGGTTTCCCTCCAGCTGCCTTGTTCAGGTTTGATTTTTTTGTTTTTGAAGCAACTCCCATGTCTTTTTGTAGCTTTTCTTTTTAAGACGTTGTTCTCTCTCCCTTGCTCTCTCTCCAGCGATGAAAACAATGTTGAATGAAAGCCAGCTGGCAGCCAGAAGACTAGACGGAGAAATGTGCACAAAGGAGCTTCCTACCACACTGTTTTCAGATCAAGGAATTGTCTGGTGGCGAGGGAGGGAGGAATCTTGACTTCTTCCTTTGCAGAACGTATCAGAAAACCAAAAGGTGCCATTGCAGCCCCAAACCAAGGGTCCTGTTTACAATACTGGTGCACAACCACTGCCTACAAAGGTTGCAAGGTTGAATGATGGAGTTTTAAACCAGAATTGTCCATAAAGTTAACAAAGGACTTCAGTGTCACTTTCCATTAGTCTAGTAGCGAAAGAGATTTTGGGCCATGTCAGCCCAGTTAAATGTAAATTGCTGCTTGTGCAGCCACTACATCGGGCATGGGCAAACTTTCTAACTTGGGGGTCACATGCTAGCACTCCCTTCTTTCCAGTAGTGGAAAGAAGGAAGGAAAAGAAGGAAGGAAAGGGAGAAGGGAGGAAGGAAAGAAGGAAGGGAGAATGGAAAGGATGGAAGGAAAAAGAGGGAGAAGGAGGAGGGAGAAAAGAGGAAAGGAAGGAAAGACAAAAAGGAAAGAATGTTGAAAGGGTGAAGGGAAAGATGGAAGGAAGGGAAGGTGGAAGGAATGAGAGAAAGAAGAAAGAAAGAACAAGGGTGGAAGAGAATGGAGGGAGGGAGAAAGAGGAAGGGAGGAAAGAGAAGGAAGAAAAGATAAAAAGAGAAGGAAGGCAAGCAGGAAGGGGGAAAGGGAGAGAAGGAAGAAAAGGACGAAAGGGTAGAAGGGAATTACTAAAATGGCCTTTAAAACTCATATTCCCCCCAATCCCACCCAATGTAATATTTATTTATTTCCCACCCTATCTCCCCAGGAGGACTTGACCTCCCCAAAGCCCGCCCTTTACCCTTCTACAGGTGCCTATAGACATAAAAAGGTCTTGATCTGCTTGCAGAAAGCCAGAAGGGATGGGACCACGCTGGTCTCTCTTGGGAGGGAGTTCCACAGTCTGGGAGCATGAAGTATAGAACGTCAAGGCTATGAAGTTATTATGTTCCTCCATAAGGTGTTCACTAATCCTTGAAAACCGCTTTACAAACTACCTCTGGCCATTTGTTAAAAAGAAAGCTAATTCCAAGATTATTTCAGTTCCCACTACTGAAATTATCTAAAAGAAGGGGAGAAGCAAATGTAATACTGGGATTATGGAACAATTTGAACCAAGTGTAATTTGTGTACTCTTCTTTCAGTTGCAAGATTTAAAAGTAAACGCCTGTTCTACACTAACAAGTATCCCAGGGAAAGTAATTATTACATGAGACTGTTTTAAAATAATACTAGCTTCAAAGCATTCTTAGCAAAGACAGGCTAAATAATGGAATAAAATGAAATAAGCCATAAGCAATGCTTATGACTTCAGCCTCTGGAGGCAAACAACACAGGTCAGGTTCAATAGAGGCAGCTGCAGAACAAGAGTCCAGGGCTGTCCAGGGTGTGATCTTTTCACTGACCTCATGGCTGGCTTCTCAAACAAGTCACTGGAGTATGTCAGCTTCACAGCTTGTTCCCTCCTTCCTGGAACCCACTGCACTTGGGCAGCAGCCAGGCTGGATCAAAACTATCCCCAAGGAGATCATAAATAGGCCACTCCGCTGACAGCATCAAGGCTTCCATAGCGAGAGACAGAAAAGACAAATTCTAAACATGAATGGGATGTTGCATCTCACAACCTCTGAGGATGCCTGCCATAGATGGAGGCAAAATGTCAGGAGAGAATGTTTCTGGAACATGGCCATACGGCCCAGAAAACACACAACAATCTAGTGATTCCGGCCATGAAAGCCTTCAACAATACAAGGAAATTTATCTTTCTTAATGAAAAAAGCATGCACCTGTGAATTGCAAAGGCTAGCATAAATTTCTTTTGCATTTACTAAACAACCAGACAGTAGACTCTCAACCTCTCTCAATTCAACTGCTCGGACTGGAGACAATTAAAGCCAACAAGCCTATATGGACTTAGAAGACTGCAATGCATTATCAAATACTAGTTTACAGGAACTAACTCACAAACTTTTTTCCATTTTAGAAGGCAAGACAGAAACATGCACAACTTTTGAAATGATCAAAATAAGAGGCATCATTGACTATCTTCCCACAGCTTCCATTCCTTTTAGCTAACAACTCCAAATACTTTTAGCAAAAAATATTTGAAAAGTATTTAAAATGCTGCAAAAAGCCAGCATTTTAAAAGATTATGAAAGGAAAATATAGATTTTCCTACTGTAGCAGCCAGTCAGTCTCAATAGCCTATGTGCTTACCAAATTATGAAAGAAGAGTCTGGGACAGGTATGACAGCATAAATAACGACTGTATTTCTACAAGTAACTTACAATAAATTCATTCCAAAGATGGAAAGAGATGTTTTAAATATAAATGTTGAATATACAGAGTAAGGCCAATTCTGAGGCTAGATTTTTGACATCTATGGTAAATTTCTAACTGGGAAAATGTTATGCTTTCACAATTGCAATTTTCAGCTTTTAAGCATCTTATAGCATTCCCTCTATTTCAAAAGGGAATATATGTATGCAAGATTTTAACAGATGCTTCTGGAAGAGACAGAGGTCACAACCAAGAATTATCGTAGGCTCCAAGGAAAGTCACAATACAACTGAAAAACAAACCAGGTTTTTTAAATACATGGTCATTAGACAATAGCTTGCCAATCATCTGGGGTCTCCTCCATTCAACTATTTTCAACCTAATCCTTTGAACGTTTTCACATGAAAAGTTTTGGAAAGCAAGCAATGGCGTCCAGAACAAACACTGCCCTGAAAACCAATGACATTTCCTACTGCAAACCAACACTTGCTACAGAGACGGATTATTTCTTCTGTAAGGAGGGACAATCATAGGAAAAGTTGGCAATCTACAGATATTTTTTAAAGTGTGTGTTGCTGTGGAAACACAGAACAAAGCACTGAATAGTATCCTTCAATCATATAACTGAACTAATGCAGGGCCAAGAGTCCATTGGCAAAGCAGGTTTGTTTAAAGTATTATTTGAGCCATTATTATCACATTCAAATGCCTGTCCTTTTAACCTTAATAGCATATAAGAATCAAATTAGTCTATAAACATTAAGTCTGAAAGCCACTGAAAGCTGTTCTTTCTGATGGTGACTGAAATCCCCAATTAACATTCTAGAAATCTCAGTCACTGCCAATGTTGGTAATATATATTTCTTCCTTTAAAAAAACCCTAAAGGCATATTTCATGGGTGAGACACTTTCTTCACAGAAGTGTAACTGCATATTGAACCCTGCACTTGAACAGCACTATCAGAAAATTGTATGACCTCCACTAGGAAGCTTCCACAAAGGCAACTCCTGAGCAGGGGTAATCCATAACAACAGAAAATGCATTAACAAATCTTGTCAAACAGCTGCGGGTTTTGTTTATGATTTTTAAGCCAATCACTTGCTGCATGTTATAGGAAAAACTGAAGTACAAGAAAAGAGCTTTTATGCTTCAATTCTGAATTCAAGAGTTCAAAGACTGGGAAGTACTGGGTTTAGAGATTCTCCCGTGAATTCCCAAAGATATGCTAAACCTCTCTCAGAAGTGGGAATGCTGGGGGCGAGCAGAAAGACAAAAGGGACATGTCTTACTGTACACCAAAAGACTTTGATCAAAATCACCCCCCTCATCGCACCAAGCAATCACCTGGCAATCACATGTGCCTTTCACCTTAAGAACAGACAAGCATCCCGAGCTCCGAGGATTACCTGGGAAGGAATCCCACTGGAGCATTGCAGCGCACCGAAATACCTGGGAGTCACTCTGGACCGTGCTCTGACCTACAAAAAGCACTGCCTGAACATCAAGCAAAAAGTGGGTACTAGAAACAATATCATACGAAAGCTGACCGGCACAACCTGGGGATCACAACCAGACAAAGTGAAGACATCTGCCCTTGCGCTATGCTACTCTGCTGCTGAGTAAGCATGCCCAGTGTGGAACACATCTCACCACGCTAAAACAGCGGATGTGGCTCTTAATGAGACATGCCGCATTATCACAGGGTGTCTGCGCCCTACACCACTGGAGAAATTACACTGTTTAGTCGGCATTGCACCACCTGACATCCACCAGGAAGTAGCAGCCAGTAGTGAAAGGACCAAGGCAGTGACATCTCCAGCTCATCCCTTGTTTGGGTATCAGCCAGCACATCAACGACTTAAATCAAGAAATAGTTTTCTAAGATCTACAGAGACACTCGCTGGAACACCCCAGCAAGCGAGAGTCCAAAAGTGGCAGGCTCAAACCCAGAACATCAATCAATGGCTGATACCAAATGAGAGATTCCCCCCTGGGCACACAGGAGACTGGGCAACTTAGAAGGCGCTGAACAGACTGCACTCTGGCACCACGAGATGCAGAGCCAGCCTTAAGAAATGGGGCTACAAAGTGGAATCCACGACATGCAAGTGTGGAGAAGAACAATCCACTGACCACCTACTGCAATGCAGCCTGGGCCCTGCTACATGCACAATGGAGGACCTCCTTGCGGCAACACCAGAGGCACTCCAAGTGGCCAGGTACTGGTCAAAGGACATTTAATCAACTACCAAGCTTGCAAACTTTGTGTTTTGTCTGTCTGTTCGTTTGTTTGTTTGTTTTGTTAAAAATGTAATACAAATGTCTGGTTGCTCCTGACATGATAAATAAATAAATACTGTACACCAAAAGACTTGGAGCAAAATCACCCCCCTCATCACACCAAGCAATCACCTGACTGTGGTTCTGATCTGCTGTGCCACTTCCCCACTAAAGAGTGCCCTTTACGCAAGCCATTACTGTTTCTCAATACATACCAGCAACTGAACCCAGTTAAACTATCACCTGCTTCCACAAGGGTCACCGGAGGCCCTCTTGCCTTTTCAATGAATTGCACATAATTAGCTTGAAGCTGTTTATTACCCAGGCAGACACCTGAAAAGAAACATTATTTTCATAACTTTCCAGCAGCAGCTCACCTGGAACAATAAGCATGCTGTATTTAAAAACATCTTGGCTGCACAGAAATAGAAGACTTACTGTAATGCTGTTACTTGAAACACAAAAAAGAGTTGTCAAGTAAAACATGTTTATA